AAAGTGAGGCAAGAAGTGATGTGGTTCTAGACAAGAACACCTGCAAAGCAAAGCTATTACTATTGTTGGAATGAAAATCCTACCAGCAATGGAATTCACCAGACCCAAAGCAGGGTGATACACAGAGGCTGGGAAAACCAAATAAGTTTTGTAGACAATCTCCGGGAATTTTCAAATAACTGTTTTGCCTAGAGCCCATTTTTTATCATTTTACCCAGAAGAGCTGGGAAGACTATGAACTTTTTCCCGGATTAGGCTAATAGTAGTTTACTAGAGACTTCTCTAACTGGGCATTGAAACGAGGGCCTTCCCACTGTGCTACACCTCCGGCCCTTTTTTTTTTTTTTTTAGTTTTTTTTAGTTTTTTGAGCCAGGGTCCCACAATGTAGTTCAGGATAGTCTTGAACTAAGTATCTAGGCTGGCCTCAAACTCACAGCAATCCTCCTGCCTCAGTCTCCCGAGTGCTGGTGTTACAGGTGTGAACCACCAATCCCAGCCCGCCCTTTTTATTTACAAGGTCTCGCTGAGGTGGGTCAGAGTGAGCTCGAACTTGGGATCTTTCTCCCTCAACCTCTTGAGTGCTAGGATTACAGGCATGCATCGCCGCCTCTTTTTAAAGATATTAGTGTTTTCTTCTAGAACATTCATAGTTTGCATAGGACAAAGTTTGCATCTTTTAAAATGTATCATGGTAACCGAAATCAACATGCAAAGGTCTCACCTTTTTAGAAACCCTTCTAGAGAGGACACAGTCCACCACACCCGGAAGCTGCGGGTGAACCTGGCTATGTCCGGACAGGTAGGCAAAGAACCGGCGACTACCGCGGCCTGTGCGAACTACAATTCCCATCGGCCCCGGCAGACGCCCGGGTGGCGGCCTCAAAGCGCCTGCGTACTAGCGCAACCTCCGGCTGAGCGGTTCCCGCCAATTCTTGCGGCGTTCCGGGCTCGGAGTTCCCCGCGCTATGGAGTCGTTTGACCCCACCGAGCTGCCCGAGCTGCTCAAGCTTTATTACCGGAGGCTCTTCCCCTACCCCCAGTACTATCGCTGGCTCAACTACGGCGGAGGTGATGGAGGCCGGGAGCAGGGTGGATAGTGGGTGGGGATCGAAGTGAGGACGTTCGGGCGGGACGTACTGAGCCTGACAATATGAAGTCAGTGCCTCTGCGCCCTGTTTCGCTGGTGGTGCTGGGGAGGCAGTGCCAGGGTCTCGCGCATGCTAAGGAACCACTGTACCACTGAGCTACATCCCAGCCTTGTCTGTTGTTTTATTTTTGAGACAGTTTCTCGCTAAATGGCCCAGGCTGCGCTCGAATTTAGGGTCCTCCTGTCTCAGCCTCCCCAGTAGCTGGGCTCACAGCATTTCGCGCACAGTACTCCTGTCTCTATCCTGCCCACCACCTCACAGGTATAAAAGGCTGAGCGTAAATCTAATGATCAGCCTCCTGCGCCCTGGTATCCAGGGGTTAACATGGTCCTGGCCTAAAGCTTCAGAGGCTTGATCTGCGTCAGGGTCCGAGGAGGATACTTTCTTCCTCGCAGCTGAATCGGTTAGTGCCTACAGAGGAGAGGGAAGCGGCATTGTATGTTTATACTTATTCGTCCTTCTCATTTTTACTTTTTCCTAGCAAACGTGGAATGATAAACCTAAAATGAAGGACTACGTCCTATCTTTTCACATCTAGATCCTATTGCAGTGTCTGCCTCTCCGCTGACCGCGGATCACTTTTTTTTTTTTTTCTGGTACCAGGAATCGAACTCACGACCTTGCGCTTGCCAGGCAGGCGCTTTGCCACTGAGCTAAATCCCCAGCCCCTCTTTTCACATCTAGAACAGTGTTGGGCGCAAGGGTTCATTAAAAATATCTTCCCGCTGTCTGTTCTAATGCCCTAAGCTGAATAAAGTACCATATTCTAAAATGTGTGCTTATTTTGCAGTGGTAAAGAATTACTTTCAAAACCGCGAATTTTCATTCACATTGAAAGATGATATTTACATTCGCTACCAATCCTTCAACAACCAGAGTGATCTGGAAAAGGAAATGCAGAAAATGAATCCATACAAGATCGATATAGGCGCAGTATACTCCCACAGAGTAAGAAACCTTTTTATGTATGTATTCTGTTGTTTTGTTTTATAAATCAAGAATGGC